TTAATGAAGGTTCAGTTTAGGGGGAAGCCCTTGCTGTAAAAGAAGATATTCTTTTGACACACACTTTGGGGACTGTTGTTAAGATATAAAAAAAATGTTATGGGCTGCAAACACTGAGTGATCCAATGATTGGTTGAACTCTTAAAGAAGAACTGCTGTTTTAGCCATCTTTCCTATAGGTAGGAACATTATACTCACCAAATTAATGACTGAGGTCTGGAAATCTCACAACAACATCACTAAAGAAGGTAAAATAGGGCAAGAAACATGAGCAGTCAGACGATCATACAGGTTGGAAACAAATCCCCAGAACTGATTTTGGAAGAGAAAACAGAAATTAATTATTACCCAAACTGTAAACATCCATCATGCTTTACCTCCAAATATATTACTTTAGATAATCTGACTAAATTGTTGGCTTGTCTGATCATCTAACTGCTCCAGTTTCTTTCCCTGGAAGACTATATCTCAACAATTATTTTCGTTAAAACAAAGAAAAATGTCCAGTCCTGTGAAGAAGAGACCCACGCTGGTATGAACCAGAACGATCCTAAACTCAGAATTGTAATGCCAGATGAATATGTTTTATTAGTTACTTTCCTATGTCCCTATTTCTCTTTCTTTCTCCTATTTTCTCCACTGTGTAGCAATCATTATATTATTACACATTACCCTGGCGTTTCTGCAAAATTATCATCATAATAAAAAATAATGGCCATGGGGTTCATTTGATGCTCAACAGCTGAGCCGGCAATTTACATCCTTATTGTTTTCACACAACACTCTTAAACCACTCCCTCTGCATGACTCGTTATGTGAACACATAAAATGTTTATCTTTGGTTTTGAAACAAAAAATACAGTTTCATTGAACAATAAATCTAAAACTAGAAAATAGTTACACTACCACTGTAATCACCATTGAGTATGTAAGTTCACATTTGTGTGGCGCTTTTCACTCAGTTGCAAGGCACAGGTTCATTTTTGCTATACAGCCTTAAACATGTTAAATAAAATGAAAAGCTTAATATGGTTATGCCAGTTTTATTTAGTTGTTATTTAATAAAGTGTTTTCATATCAGATTCTGCTTTACATTACATTCTGCTCACTGTCGTTGACACTGACACTCCTCCATAAAATAATCTATCAAAAACATGTCGCCTTTTTGACTTTATTGTCATGTGGAAGTCTTTTCATGGAAGTTTGTAAAATACATTTTCAGTTGTGTTTAAACAGCGGTGATCATGGTGTAGGTCAAAGAAAAATGAAAAGTAATATAATTCTAAATGAGGGAATCAAAACATAAAATGAACCAGTGTTTAGGTAAACAATGAATAAAATTAGGTAGAAAATAATTGAGTTAATTTGATCAAACAATCGACTGTCCCTGAATGCACCTTCTATTAAAGCACATATATTTAAATCCTCAGGCATAATGAAGAGTTATTCTGAATTGTGGTCGGCACTCATTTAAATTGCAGTGATATATGTTGAAGTGAACTCTATTTAACCCATAGCAAATGTATTCAGAAGGCAGGTTGGCCTTACAGGACAAACCTGTTTCTTTTCTTTGTGGGGCCTTCGGCCTGTATGTCAGTGTGTGTGAACCCCACTGAGCTCATTAAACCGTTAATATCGCTGTCTTCCTCTTCACAAAACCTGAAATCTCACAAGATATTGCATGCTCAATGGCTGAGACACACAGCACTGCACATACACACACACACACACACACACACACACACACACACACATACACAAACACAAAGCCTCGCAAAGCTTTTCTGACTAAGTGCGTGCCTGACTGCTTGCTTAAACACACACACACACACACTCACACAGACGCACACACACACGGCTGCAGCACAGCGCTCTTATTTAAACTGATGTGAGTGCTGTCACGACATCTGACTAGTCCTATTTGTTCCACAGAAGCCTTGGCGTGAGAGAGCAGGGTCACCCCACTGGCTCTCATGCAAATCCATTCAGCACACACACGCGCACACACACACTCACAGACACACACGCACACACGCTTAATGGTCCTGCAGATAAGCAAAAAGACAGAGAGACAGACAGGCAGGCATGCAGAGAGCCATGTAGAGATTCAAGCAGAGAGAGACGAGTGGACAGTAAAACCATTGGGCAGAGAGCCGAACAAACTGAAAGACAGACGGACAGCAAATAACAATAAAACATTATGAAATTGACAGTTATCCTGAGCTACTCCACTTAATAGTGGGCTGGTCTCGCAGAGTCAGATCTATCTCCACTGTGCTGGCCCCACAAATTTCATTATGGCATAAGGGGAAAAAGGTGGATGTGCTTGTTTGTATTTCTTTAAACCAATCACAAACGTAGTAAGCGCAGCTAAGCCACAGGATGAAGCAGCCACGCCCATGCAAAATAGATAGCTGAGATAGAGAAAGGGGAGGAGAATGCCATGTGAAATACGCGACAATGCCAGACTAATACCCATAGTCTAAATCTGGTGAGTGCAGGGAAAGCGGTGGGTGGGTTGGACTGTTTGGGGTAACTGGATGAGTGACAGTAGAAGTGCTTGTGTCACAAAAATGATATCATAATACAGAAAAAAGTAAGACCTTTTAATTCCAAAGTGTGTGTTTGTGTGTTCTGAGTGCTTGCGTTCTCCCTTTGTATCGTCGGTCACAGTTGTGTCTGTGCTGGTGCTGCACTATCTTGTGGGGATTTTGGTGAGTTAAACCTGCATGGTTGGCCATTGGATTTGTCCCGCATAGCCTAGCCCAAATATGTCAAGCGTGACAATATTAGTCATTGCATGCCAAAAAAAGAATAGTGGGTCATATTCACCCCTCCTCTCCCTCTTAAATCCGTGCATGCACACACAGACACACACGCACTTTCGCCTGTCGCCCCTCCCCTTCCCCTCCTTCTCCTTCCCCTCTCTCTCTCTCTCTCTCTCTCTCTCACACACACGCACGCAAGCACACACTCAGCATGCTTCATTATACACTTGCCCACACAGCATAGCGTGCCGGAAACAGACTCAATAGATGCCAAGCTCCCGGTCCCTGCAGGCTCAGTGCCCCTAAAACACTGGATGCACCTTCCCAAATTAGGTTAATTCGCTTTTGCCACAGAGAATGCCCAAAGTACAGTCTAGTGGTCCCACAAACCATTGTGACGGAGAAATAATTAGATTATTTTGGGGGGAAATTTCAGCTCCCATCAACTATTAACCTGGCTGTTCAATAATCAGACCAGCTAAAGGGAAATATATATGAGCTTTTAAAATCATGACAATCAAAATGTTATGATAACACTGATGTAGATACTGTATATGCAATCAGACTATTCTGAAAGTAGGTTAGACGTTTTAAAAAAACCATTCAGTAATGTATATGTCACAAAGAGAGCTCTGATGAACTTTACACATGCCGAAATTATTCTATTGTCTATTGTCCATTGTGGTCCAGTTCAGTACTGCTTTGTGTACGGCGCTGCATTACAGTAAATGCCTGCTACTGCTCTTTTTCCTATGCCCTTATCACAAGGGGTATTTGAGGATATGACCGGTTTCAGAGAGGGGAGTGAGACAGAAAGAGGAGGGGGAGTGGAGGCAGGGGGATACAGAGAGAGGGCTTGTCTTCCCCCTCTTTGGCACAGTGTGGTGCAAGGCTTGATTACTGTCTCTGCCTGAATCCATTTTTCCCCCTTTTGTCACGTTCACCAATTTCTTTTTTGTGCTGCGGAGGCAGATAAACAAGCACGGAAGGTAGGCTAGACTTGAGTGGGCGAGTGCAATTTGCATCAGAGCAACTGAGTCTGCACGATTCAGTGACGGGTCCAGAAATAGCATGAACATGCATCACAAATGTAATCATAGCAAAGAGTTCTCTCTCCCTCTCTGTAATGGTGGGGGGGTGACATTAGCCCAGATTAAGACACAGGTTTGCTTTGGTCAGCCACAGAGAAATGAGGGCAATTATATCATCTAAAAAGGCAAAAATGTCTGTCCAAAGACATTTACAAACCAACCCTGCCGGCCCTGCGGGAATGTCTGGCCGTTATTTCAAATTACTTCTGAGGCAATGAATTAAATGCACACAGCCCAAACAGAGCATGCAGCGTGACCTATGCATGCAAGCAGGCAGAGCTCAGCTGATGTGACTTCAAGGCCTTGTCTGCCTGCGTGTTGTACACAATTGCTTATTCATTCTCTATTATTACAAACAAAAATAATGATGTGTACTTTAAAGGCAAACTTATTCTCACAAATTGTATTTGAGTCAGCTTTTTTTGTGTGCGCTTCTGGGAAGGCTCTGACATTTTAGAAATTACACTTGTCAGCCATTTACATAGAACTACATCATAAATATATTAAGTTACGTGAGACGATCAATATCAGTTTCATCTTCTTGTAGCTTACTGTAATGACTCCCCACATCTCAGCTGTTAACTCTGTTTTTGCAAGTCATGTTGCCACAGGAATGCCACTTGCCTGTTCATGTCAATCAGGCCCCTTCCTGCCATGCTATGTCTCTGGCTGCCAAAGCATAAAATTGAAGTGATGAGCATTACCAACTGATGATTCCATCCCCTAGGACTGACTGGTTGAGGTGGTCGTGGCAAGGCTTAACTTACTCAAGATGCCAACTTCCTCACCAATGGTTGATGAAAATAGAAAACTTTCTGAGGTCTAAAGATGGTCCAGGGTTAAGATGGCCTGTTAGGGAATCTTAGGGTATTCCCCTCTGAGTGGCAGCCATATCCTCCTCTAATGGGATATCGTTTTTATTTGCTGTAACAAACTGAATTGAATAATTTAGCAACATATTGTATGTGGTTATTTGTGCACGAAACACAAACCAATGCTCATATTAAATTCATTATAATGCTTTTATTTTGGTAGGAAAATAAACTTCCTGTGCTAAATCCTGCTGACTTGACACTGAACGTTCCACACTGCGTGGCTAGACTGCGTCGTAGCCATAACAACAGCCAAAGCACACGGGTCGTGTCAGGAAAAAATCAGTCAAACATTTTAGTAATTCAATGATTTGTTTCCTACTTCACTCCGTAAGAGACTGTTGACTATGGGTAGGTAAAGGTTTGTTCTGTTTACGCATCGATACAAGTCCAAACAAAAAGCTTCATTCGTGCGTAATTGTGGTGGTAAACGCTACTTTACGCGTGAGTCCGCACTGATTCGTTTACAGTTTTTGAGAATAGCGTCATTTCATTTCCGACTCAGTTTCTTTTTTTTGTTTGTCCCTCTTTTACTAAACAACCCTCCAGCAATGCAGACTGTTTGATACATAATGTTTACTGTGCCTGCGTGTGCGCAAACCTGCACTTTTGACACAATGCACATCGCAATTAAACTAATGTAGGGACTTCATTACAATGTGTATGTCATTTAATAATGAGTATATGTAACTATTCAACTCCATTGTAATATAGATGATATGTAATCTCTGCAATGTAGCTTACATTAAGTAACTTAAATCTGCTTTCTAAGGATGTATGTATAGGCCTACACTGCCATTCACACAGTTTGCAATGTTATCCATGTATTTGGAAATGACGATTGAAAAAAAATGTAATTCTCTGTGTCCGGGGATAAATATAATAGTTATTCTTCATATTCTTCTAGTTGTTAGATAACACTATAACAAAGCTTCATGCTGCTCACCTTAAATAAACAATTGTCTTGTGGATCAATGACATCTAACTATTTCAACCCCATCTGCTTCCTTCAGGATGGGGTCGGTTGGGGACATTTCTCCATCTTGTGTCCTCCCTTCCAGAGTAGCCAAATGTTTTTTTCCCCTTCAGTGCTCCTGAACTACAGGCCCTTATGAGTCTATATGTTCGTGCATGTTTCCTCTCACGACTTAGGCATGCGTCCATGCAGAATAGATGAGTTTATGAACAGCTTGCCTCTCTCACATTAGACTGATTAATAGTTCAATCAGGGCTAAAACGGACAAAATGTCATGGGGGAACAGTTGTCATGCAAAATCAGCTCTTTATATCTGCGGCCATCCAAAAGGATAGGCCTGCTTAATGCTGTCACAGGGCGTTACTAATTTATTTGTGTTGTGTGAGCCAGCCATTGAGGATCTCCGCCGTGTTTTAAATGCAGAGCCTAGAGACAGTAGGGGGGCAATCAGGCTATTAGCGTGCGTGAGCATGAAGCTCTTTGACTAGGCAGGGTTTTATATATCTGCACTGGTGTGTGAGTGTGGAAGAGACCGAGGGAGTACACGTGCTTGTTTACATGCTAGTTCTTGAATTATTGGTTTGTGTGTCAAGTTAAACCTGCTTGACTTTGCATGAGTTCTTAGATTGGATGTGCATCTGTCTGTGTGCTGTGTGGCCAAATCCTTGTGTGTTTGTGCTGTACATTTCCCTGCGTGTTCTCTCACTCTATTTCCCTCGCATGGCCTGTGGGGGCATTTACTGTCTGGCATGCAGGCGTGCACAGGGAACCATCTGATAGGAGAGACCTTTGGCCCTACGTTGGCCAGAGGTATTTAATCTGAGGTCAAGTGTTGAGTTGGCATGATGCTTTTCCCCTCACTAATGGTGCACTGATAGATAAACACCCTGAGAGCTTGCACACACAGCTATAGACAGACAGAGGCTGCGTTAGGCTCACACTGTTCTCCTCGCACGACCTCACTGGCCACTATTGCACAACATGGGAGAGCTGGACTTTCCTTGGTTTGCAACTAAGAGGCTGAGCATAGCACAGGGTACACAAATAAAAAATGTTCTTGATTTTGTGGATATTTAACACCCTTGAAGGTTGAATCAGTCCTTCCGTCGCCCTGCAGTGGAAGACAAGCTAATATATGGCGTAAGTCAAAATACCCTTAGCTGTAAAATGCAATAATCTACAGTCTATAAGCTTAATGCCATGAGCTTGACTGATTAATCTATTGAATAGATTGTACAGCAAATGGGTTTAATATGGTGGACATCACGCTAAGGGATTTGCCCTTACACTACCTCAGAGGCTAAGTGCTATTCATCAGTTTAAAAGTGCCACCCACTTATATCATGAAAAGAGTCAAATTGTCCTGGGTAATATTGGGAAGAACACATTGTCTTAGGATGGTTGTAGAAATACTTTGGTGTCAGGATTATATTTATTTTAGAGTGATTAGGAGGCATGTTTTCTTTTTACACACTTTCTACTTGGTCCTGAGGCTGCTACTGTTAGTCATTGTGTTCTAACTTGAAAGGGGCTGCATTTTGTACAAGAATCTGGAAGTTAATTACAGAGAAAAGAGAAAACACAGGGAATCACCCCACAAGAGCTCAGTTTAGAAGAACAGATAGAAGAAAATAATACCTCTGAAACAAGATCGTGTTTCTCCCTTAAAAGCTTAAAGTCGGGATGAAATAAAAAAAGCCTTTTTAACTAACTTCAACAATCAATGCAAAAAATCAAATCCAATCTTTCTGTAAAACAAAATATGACGTGTGTTTACTTTTGCCAATACTGACCACTTTCAACCAATTATATAATTTGAATTAATTCCTTCTTGTAACTGTACACCGTTCAAATATTCCTTTATGGGAATACGTCACAGTACCGAAGCTAAAGATGCTCTAAGCTCCGTTTCACTGGGACTTTAATGTTTCTACATTAGTTTGCAGTAGAGCCAAAACAATTTAGTCAATATATCAACTACTTGATGATCAACTAATGCCAAGTTTGATGTTTTAATTCATTATCAATTAATCATTTATAAAGAAGAAAATTCCAAACATTCAATCATATAGATCTTCATCGTAAATTGATTATTTTGTGCTGTCTCCCAGGCCTTGGGAATTTGTGAAGTTTTGTTCATATTTCTGACTTTGTATAGACACAATTATTATTCCATTCATTAAAAAGCTAAAAAGACAGATTAATCAGCATTCAAAATATGCACAACACACACCAAATACCATTTCCAGTGTAACTAATCCTGCTGGTTTTCTTGTGTCTAGGAGACGAGGAAAGATCTATGGAGGCGGAGCAGGAGGGAGAGAAGGAAATGAAGATGGTTCGTCAGTGTCCTCCGATCTACCCACTGCCCGAAGAGATAAAAAAGGTAGGCAGTTCATGTTTCTGAAAACCCCTGGCAGGTACTTGTATATTTTTTATTTGAAGTTATATCTGAACACCAAGACTCTCCTCCCAGTGGAACATATACACATAAAATCATGTTCAGCACACACACACACACACACACACACATTCACTTTGGAACCGTACTGTTACCTTTCAAAGCATGCATGTTAATGAAAGACCATATTGCCACAACATATGTTGTTAACAAATGGGATTTTTTACAACCCAGAAATACAAATGCATATGTTACATCCTGATGAGCGTTTCAACACTGCTCTCTCTCATTATGCTGCAGTAATCCATATGATTTGAACAAGAAATGGGACAATGTCTCCTCTTTGAATCTTCCATCTGTTTTAAGATAAAGCACATAGGCAGTAACATGGCAATGATGGCGTGCTGCTTTATATGCTTGTCAATGTCAGGTGGCAGTTACATACGTATTGCCATATGATATACCATATGGTATGAATATAAATTAGCAGGGAATATGGCTTCCTTTGAACGGAAAGCATACAGGGTCTCTAAAGCAGTGTATTCTCTGTTTGTCAAAGGAAACTATATCTCCAAAGACCACGTTTTCCTCTTTTTTGTCCACGCTGACGCAAAATCATTTTTCACATGAAACTATTTTGAAAAGGTTCTTTTTATATGCCCTGACATACGAAAATGTTCTGAGCACACACAAAGCAAAGTAATTAGACTAAGAAAATGGTTTGGCCAATAGTTGTAACCAGTAGTTTATCTTCCCATTCTGACTGTCACTAAACGAGTTTAGAGTATTTTCTACCGTGGTCCTTAACAAAGTTATTTAATTTCTCATGTCTTTGGGGAACCCAGCCAACATGGCAGCACTTACAACAGTACCTTTGTATATATCATCTCTTCCACATTAGACCTGCAGGATAAACAAACGGAGCAGCTGGCTGGGTATGAGAGGGACCTCTGTGATTGCTTTACCTGTAGCTCTCCAAAAGGCTCGGAAGGCTTTTACAATCTTTCCACTCCCACACGTGGCAATGTCTTTTCCCAGCTCTCACTATTTACAGAAACACAATGGTATCATAACCAATAATAATAATCTAATAATATGCTCAGCTATACTGTACAATATCAATTACATTTGGTCTTTTGTGACCAAGTCAACATAGCATGACATAGTGCAGCAAGTTCACAAGGGTAAGATTACTCAATGGATCAATGAGGCTGCTCTCTGCGCTCTGCACTCTCTTCCTGTCTCTCTCGGTTCCCGTGTCTGTCGCTCTCGAGTCATTTGTGGAATTTCTCATTGAGGCCAGTAGATGGCCGTGAACAATACACCCCCTGGTATTATCTGAGGGTGGCCTTTCCATGCTCACCTACAGACAAAATCCCCCCAGCCTTCCCTGAAAGTCTCCTACAAACACATCACAGTGCACACACACCTACACACACACACACACACACACACACACACACAC